CGAGGGCGCCGCGGACGGGGGCAGGTGCCGCTGTTTTGGGGCGGGGCTGGCGGCGCCCCTCAGCGCCCGGCAGGGTCTTAGACACCATTTTGTGGTGGGTGCTGCAGCCCCACAGGGAGCCAGCTTGGGACCCTCTGGGGGTCCGCTGACCGCTTTCCTGCTTCTTTCTCTCTTCAGCAGCGTCCCCGTTCCCCCATGCAAGGGCAGCCTTCTTGCCCAGCCCCGAGGGGGTGTCACTGCTGCATGTCCCCAGCAGACCTTCCTCTGCAGCGGGGTAAGGGACCTCCGAGGCAGAAAAAAGGCATTTTTTATGCCATTTCTTTTTTATTAGTGCTCATCGGTCTAGTGGGATGTCATTCAGGAGGACCAGAGGGCCCTGGCTTGACAGAAGCCAGTTTCCATAGTCTTCAGCAGACGTTGCCATGCAGAGAGGAAAAATGCCACCTCAGCATTGGTGGCTTTGGAGCAGGAGGGAGTGACGTGCGGAAACAGACTCCACAACCTGTAAGGTTGTAAAGTAGGTATGTTTGTTCAGCGCTGGGCAGCACGGGGGGTCATCCTGCCAAATTCGTGGGCGCCCACGTGGTGGCTTGTCCTGGATTTATACGACAAAGTATTACATATACATAAGGTTTCCCAATACGCCTATACATATGCATTACCTGTCCCCGCTTTGTATTAAAATTAGCCCCAAGAGGTCGTTTCCATAAACCCCTCCCAACTGCGCTTGCATGGTGTCTCCTGGTGGTGGTCGCAGGGGGTCGTGGGGATGAAGGCTGATGACTCTTCTTCGTCACTGCTAGTAACCCCTTGTTCTTGCGCAGACTCAGTTGCTCCTTGACTCTTGTCCAAACTGCAGGGTCGGTTTCAGCTGGTTTTTAAGAAAAGTTTCTGTTCTCATCAGGAACTATCCTTTGCTGAGAGATTACAAGACTCCTTACTTCAATAACTTTGTACAATAGTTAAACTTTTATAGTTACACTCTAAAGCCCCTTTTCAGGAGCAGGGACAAGCCCTTAGCCGGTACTGAAACAGCCAGCAGAGGCAGTGATAGGAACAGGGTGGTAAGGAAGGTGGAAAGTTGCCCACTACACCAGGGCTTCTTCAAGGCCACCATTGGCCACACCATGGCATCACATCTTTCACACTACTTGGCTGCTGCTGTGTCATGGACATGGCTGGTTGAGACCCAGTAAGATAAACCTTCCTTGGTTGCCACAGAGCAACCTGTAAACTCAGCCCACTCCATGTGCCCTGGCCTTCTCCTCCACCAGCCTTGACACCATGACCACTGAAGAGATGTTAAACTCAGCAGTTGCATGGAGCAGGGCAGTGCTGGGTGGCCTCTGGTGTTGAGGGTGGGAGAGGAGCAGGTCAGAGGGAGGACATCCGTAGCAATGCGGAGGGAGTAACCTCCATGCCCAGGGAGCTTGGGAAACCAAGGCCATCCTGCTGCCAGCCTTAACATGGCTTTTTGTGGAAGCCCCAACTTTAATATTGCTTTGTGTGGGAGAACATCATCCTCTGCCTTTGTTAATGTGATCACCATTACGCTCTTAGATTTGTTGCCTGAGATCTCTTCCAAGTGAAAAGACGAATTTAAAAAAGGGAAGCATGAATTGGTACAGGAAAATAACTTGAGCCACTTCAGATAAATTATTGCACTGTAGTAGGAAGAACAGGAACCTGCTGTCTGACTAGACTCTTAGACTTTCTTTTATAATGTCATGGGCTTCCTTATCATTTTTATTGCTTTTCTCAAGTTTGCTCACACTGTCTCAACAACATGGGCGTAACAATTTGCCTAGAGCTCTACACAGAGTCTACAGGCTCTGTAAAGAAACTGTCCAGGGCACGAGAACTCTCTGTTATTGTACTGCACTGTAAATTCATTTACATTTACCATTTACTTTTTTCAGCCATACCCAGGTCTTTTAGCATAACTGGTTCTGAGCTTACTTGGAGTTTGGTAATGTCATTTGAGTTGCTGAAGTCTGTCAAAATCAGGAGCCTCTTGGCGCATGGGAGAAACAAAACCCAGGATCAGCACAAAAGGTGCTACATTTCCAAAACGTAACAAGAGATGCCAAAAGGTGGGCAAAGCCCATTTCTGCTGCCTCCTGTGTGTGCTAACCCAGAGCCCATGCACTTCAAGAGTCCAACCCTTACTCCTAAGCACACAAGTCCTTTAAAGATCCTGAAAAAGTAGCATGCATAGGGTGCAGACTTCAAGGTCTTTGCAGAGGAAAGGCCCCGTGGAAGTACAATTGCACAGAAATTGGAGTATTTCTCAGGAAAAGGAAAGAAAATTCAACCAAAGCTAATTTAAATCAGCTCATCTTTTAATTGGTTCACACACACATCTTTCTGTTTGTACACAAGTTCCTATGCTCCTTTATGAAGAGATCCACTCTATAATCTTTTCTCAAGAAAATCAAGCAGCAAATGATTCGGGAAGCTAAAGTCAAGTTGTACAATTACGTATCCCTAAAAAGGGAGGAGGAAAAAGAAAAGTATTATATTAGTTTATGCCATACTCCCAAGAACAGCTTTGAGAGCCAGGTATTTCTGAACTCTGCTTACTTTTCTTGTGATGATCTCAGGATTTCTGATCTCAAATAGATGAAGCCCTTTGCTGTTCATCAGTGAAGTCAAAGCTGGTTCGATCCCTACGGAATCAGTAAACCCATCCAGTTATAGGTATGGCTGTCCTGGCTTGCTGTTCATCGTGTACTGCGACCTTGTCGGCCTGTTGCCAAAAGCTAATTGTGCCTCAACACCCCACAACCTTCGGCCTGACGGAAAACTCACTTTTCCTTTGTCCCAGCCATTTACAAAGGGTTCCCCATTCCCCAAGTGAATCCAGCAGAAATTCGCATCAGTAATGCGGGTCTTCCCCCCACCTGTCAGGGTTATTGATGTATTTTTTCAGTGCTTAGGTTTAGGAGATCTGATGTTAGATGCTTTAAGGAGTGGGCTGGCACTTCCCCAAAGGGAAAACTCACTTGAAATCACTTCTGGGATCCCAACAACCGAGATCATTTTCTGCAGGAAGTTTCTTATGGATGGGTCATTCTGAAAGCCAGAAAATTCATACAAAAAGGTTTTAAAGACATCATTTAGCCACAAATGGTCTAGAGAATACTTTCTTAGCACTTACCCCACTTGGATCAGCTGTGCATTTAAAGACTTTAACCTCTACCCTGAAGGGAAGCAAAAAGGGGGGATAAAGGTCCCTAAGGGCTGCAGACATCCTCTTTTTGTGCTGGTCTCAGACATGGGCTAAGAGGGGCAATGAAAGCCACAAGAGACCGCAGTACCGACCTGGAGTCCAAAGGGTGCAAAATGAGTTTCTTTTCCGCATAGGCAGCTTGGATAGTGACCGTGATTTCCTGCACAGAGATGAACGGCAGAGTTGAGATATAGCACATGTTGCCTTATAGCAGGGAGTTGCATTTGGAAATTCTGATTTACTTTCTATGACCCAGAGTTCAATATCCTTCTGGCTTTACCTCCAGATATTACTAGAGAAGGTCGGCATTTTACTTCTCCATTTGCATGCAACAAACTCCTCCCTGATGCCCACAGCCTCAGCCTGTGGGGCTCTAGACTGGCTCATGCACGGGACTGATGCTTTTACCATTTTGTGAACCAAATCCTGCATAAAGAAGGAAATGGTTACATAGGGCTGTCTCCCAACACCCATCCATCTCAATGTGAAACTGGATGTGGAGACACCACAATGCCTTCATTCTCTCCTAAAATACCTCAGCTAAAGGAGTTTCACTGTGTCCGATACAGGTTAATGGAGGGGGGGTCATCAGAGCTTTCCAGTGCTGCGCTTACCACCTTGCACACCAGTGATGGGCTGGCCTAACAGAGGACGTGTTGAGCCAACACGGTCACTATCATCATTCCCAGACTCGAATGTTGAGGGAAGAGATGGAAGTGTTAAAAGGAACTGTTAGCCTTCTCTGCCTCCCATGGTTTAGCCACCACCCCCTTCCCAAAGGGCTCCCTGCCATTACTGTCCCTGAGCACCAGGAGTGGTCCAGACTCGGGACAGAGCCTGTCCCAAGGTCTTCACAGTCAGGAGAAGCAAGAACTGACCTTCTCCATGTACAGAACCATCAGGGGCTCTTCTCCCAGGGGAAAGATGCTGACCTCCACTGCTACCAAGGACTTCACGACTGTCCCTTCAGGCTGAACAGAGATTTGGGGATGGGCGAGACTCCACACCTTGGCCACAGAGTCATTATAGGAGGTGCCGTGAAAAATCTGGTCAAATAAGGAGCAACAGAGGAGTCAGGCTTTTTCCATACCACGTCCCAGTTTCCCCACCAACTTTCCACACAGCTGCATCCCCTTTGTAGTCCCCAATTCCTCCTCCAGTTCACACAAGCCCAATAACTCAGCCGGGTTTCAAGGAAGCTGTGCCAGCATGGAGGGTGGAGGAATCCTCCTTGCAAAGCACAATGGTTTCTCCATCAGTCCCTGCTTTTCCTCATCAGCCCCATCAAAGACTCTTGAGTTGTCGAGGGAAGGACACAAGATGTTACAATGCAACAGAATCCATTTTAAAAGTTCCTCATTTGACATAAAATGCAGTTACCGTCTGCACCGCCTTCTGCTGCGCTTCTGTGTCTTCCACTTCAAACAGCGCCTTCAGAAACAAACCAGAAACAGATTGTAGAAAAATGGAATAGGAGGTTGTGGTTAGCCCTGATGCAGGCTGGATGGGCCAGAGCGCTCATGTGTGGCTTGTGGTCCGTTCAGAGGCATGGCTGAGTTTCTCCTGAGTTCACCCCCTTTCTACCTCAGTACTCCCACAGAAAATCACATCACTTTACAACTTGGAAGACAAGTTTTCTATCAGCTGGTGTTATCGCTCTTAGGGATAACACTACCTGGTAACACATACTTGCTAAGAAGGTACCAATTTCTGACCAGGATCGTATGTAGTGACTGACTATAGATTTCTATCTTCTACCGATACTAGCTCTCACCAAAAAACGGTATTTAGACAATTTTTTACTTTCTTCCCAAAATATGATTTATGAGGTAAGGAGGGAACCACCCCTGAAATAGTCACCTGCAACTTCTCCCCTCTGATGGTCAACGCCAGGCGCTTATCTAAGAAAGCTGCCGAAGCCAGAGAGTTGAGGATGTGTTCGGACAGCCAGAAGTAGAGCATTCGGGACTCGGTCAGCAGCGACGGGGAGAAAACAGAGTCACTGAAGACATCAGAGTAGTTCTTGTACAGGACAAGGCCCTTTAAAGGAAAGCAAGCGTGTTGGCCATGACAAGCAGCAGGGAGACAGGACAAAAAGTCAATATCGGCATTTTCATTGCAAGGCAAAGGCCTGGCTGGCTGGACTCAGAGCAGAGAGCAAGCTGCTCAGCTGGGTGAAAGGCTGGCATCAACACACTCTGCAGACTTACCTTTCGCTGCAGCGCAGCAGCACTGCATGGCAGCACAGGGACCGACCCCTCCCAGCCCTCCAGCGAACATCATCACCAGAAAACCTTTGGTCTCTGAGCAGCCCAGGTTACTTTACCTTGTGATGTGATTCTAGGTAATTTGCTTTTATTAAAGGAACTGATGCAAGGGAGATATCAACACTGATATCCTCATCCCGGACAAAATTTGCTGCAGGAAGAAAACACAAAGACCTCACATCAGAAATGTGACCTTAAGCAGAGCTTGCGAGACAGTTGCTTTTAGGACTTGCTGCAGAAGGTGACTGGGAGTTATAAAAGAACACAGGGATGGGACTGGGGGGGGTCTCACTCCTTTGGGTGCTAGTGCCAATCCTGCTACTGCTCACTGACTCAGTTTCTCCACTGGGAAACAGGGGTAATTACTCTTAGTTTTACATTCTGCTCCCTTTCCATGATATTTGGGACTGGGAACCATGGGAAAATCTTCAGCAGGCAGACACAGATGCTGCAATACCTCAGCCCAAATACTCCAGTGCATGCTCCTGTTCTAGCTAGCATCAGTCCTTCTGCACCTATCCTGCACCTCTGGTCATGACATAAAGAAGGAGAAATACCTTATGAACTGAAATGTGTCTTTCAACCACTGCAATCACCCTTAAAAATCAACCTGATGCAGAAAATCCAAAGCGTAACATTATTAAGGTTTATTTTGCTGTTGTCTGAGGGCTTGGGATCCCATACACGTTTTCAAAGGACTTTTTTGATGGATGTGGCTGCTGTTCTGCTGAGGCTCAAATGTTAGAAGTTTCACATAAAAAAAGCAAGCAGAAAAAACAAGTATATT